CCATTCTCCTAAATTCGGTCTCCCCAGCATGTGGTTGAGCCTGTGAGGTAGAAGCAACCTCTGGTGCCATCCTTACGGGTGCCTCTCTTGGTGGAAATTGAGCTAGCAGTAAGCTAAAAAAATTGCCCTATGGCACCTCATGTGCATTTCTTATCTCCACCGCAGCTCTCCAAAACTGTCTAGCGTCGGACTCTAATAGGCCGGCAGCTAGAATCACCTAATCACTCTTATCAATATCACAGACCACCATCAAATATTCCATTCGGTGTAGCCAGTCTTGTAATTTGGTTGGGTGAGCCTGACCATCATACATAGGTGGATTACACTTATAAAGTGCAAAAGCAGCTCTTGCAGCGACCTTAGATCCTATTGGGTCTCTAATCATAGCTTCTTGCACTTCCCTATCAATCGAGGGTGGCTCAGCTACTCTATTAGGTTGTACGGGTTGCAGAGGTACCTCTAAAGGAACAGGTTCCACTTCTTGTATCGGAGGTAGCATATGAGGACGTCTTCCCCTTTCTCGACCTCGGATACTTCTTCTATGCAACCCTCGTGGTACCATTCGAGTTCGTCTTGTTCGAACCATATCGTATATCCTATAAGGACAAAACTTACACACTGAATTATAAATTCAAAAGAAATAATAACTTACTTGGACATATAGAGTCAGATGCTCAGCAGAATGTGGGTGGGTGACAGAATCGTCGCTCTGATACCAACTGTGACGACCCTAACTTTTGATCATCATCATATGCTCATACTTAACATTTCATAATCTCTACCGTTTACTAGTTATAACTCCTTAAAATTTCATACCCTTTTTTTTTCATTTTTATTCGTGTCTAAATGCTGTAGCATTCTATTTTCAACTATTACGAATTGTTGTAGCAATTCATTTTTAACTGTTAGCAATTGCTGTAGCAATCCATTCTCATCTATTATGAATTGCTGTAGCAATCCATTTTCAACTATTACGAATTGCTGTAGCAATTCGTTTTCAGCTATTAGGAATTGCTGTAGCAATTCGTTTTCAGCTATTAGGAATTGCTGTAGCAATCCGTTTTCAACTATTACGAATTGCTGTAGCAATCCGTTTTCAACTATTACGAATTGCTGTAGCAATTCGTTACATTAACCATACCTTATGACTAGAGGTTGCTATACATAGCCTTATTGTCTCGTGAACTATTCCTTCATTACATAAGTCATTTATACTCATAAACACTATTTCATTTTACACATAAGGTTCCGCAGCATTTCCAAAACACGTGATACATCCACAACCCACTTGCCCACATTCCACTGCTGCACCCTCTCTGCATGCCCAACAACAAGTTCAGGGAGCCGGTGCCTTACCCGTGCTTCCTACAACACGAACAAAGTTAATGAGCTTTCGCTCAACATGTATCGATAGGTCATAACAGATGCAATAATTATGCATCCCCATATATGCATTCATGTCATATATCATAATACATTCTGTGTTACTAAAATATGTATGGCTTATGTTCTTCTTCTTTCATTACATTCTTTGTTCTGCTTTCTCATTTTAGTTGTTCACATCGTATTTTCACGTTCTGAACGACTTTCATTTTCTGTTTCTCATACTTTTCATTCTTCTTTACAGATACCATACCTTTATATGGAATGGTTTATGTTTTTCATTTTCATGTCTTATACTTCTTATGAGCCATGTCCTGTTGTACCATAACGCGCATAACCAGTGAGGAGTGGGGTAGCTAACCAATCTAACTCAGTCATGGTTTCATATCTTTCATAGTCTCATAATAACCTTTCATTCGAAGGTTGGTACAAACAGGACGTTTAGTCTCTTACCGTTTATCAATTTTCTCATTGAAACGGTAACTTTAGTTAAATCTTATGAATTTGTGCATTATTGAGCATTTTATCATGAGATTAACTTTTCGTTAAAGTTTAACCTTTCATTTCTCTTAGTTTGATTTTGACTTAAAATCAATACATCCTTTTTTGCAGAATAAAGTTCCACGATTACATAAGTCTTATAGATACATACCTAACATAGTATCTAACATTCACATTGTATCTAACATTCAAAATTCTACCATATGCACAATTTTTGTGCAACATAGAAAAGTAAGCTTGTTCGTGATATAGCCATAGAAAAACTATTGTACTTACCGAAGCTTCACTAATAGCGCGTCCTTTGTCTCTCTTGACGCTTTCCGACTTCAATCGTTGATCGGCCGTATTGCATAAATTTTTCGATCGTTAGATAGAGAATCTAAGATCAATAATTACATTGAAATTTACTTCGGAAAGGTCTACAATCCTTATATTTGGTATTCAACCTCAAACCATTTCCTATCTCAAGGATTTGCACTAAAGCCGTGCAAGTTACTCAGTCATGGGCCTAATTCTCAGTTTCGGTCCAAAACTGTGAATTCTCGTTGTGTTCGGTTTTCTAACCATCACCGATTATCGAAACATCTTTCTTTTCACCTTTTAATCCCATATTCCTCTTGAAATTCAGTGTTAGTTCAAATTACTCAAACTAAATTTCGGCAGAGTTTCGCCTTGTTTTTCTCGTTTCCCGAGTTTTCAATAACTCGTTCTAATTCCGATTTCGATACCTGGAGTCAAGATTCATATTCTTGAACACAAATTCCAACATAAAATTGAACAAAACACATTTTCTCCATTTCTAGGGTTTTCAGATTTCTTAGTGTAAATCTAAAAATTTTTGTTCAATCGTTTCCATAATTACACGTTGAACTCCTATCCTAGTCCCCAACAAAACCTCGGTTTCATTTTTCAGTTTTACGGATTTTTTTCGAGATGAGTTACTATTCATCAGAACGAAAAAGCAAGCAGTTTCTCATGAAAAATCTGAAATCTTACCTCGAAAAGTTGAGATTTCCCGCTAGAATGCCTCGGGTTGCGTTTCTACTGGACTGAACGAAAGAAATTTTTGTGAAATCGGGTGATTCCTTGATTTTCTCTCTTTTTCCTCTTTTTCCTCTTTTTCCTCTTTTTCCTCTTCTCTCGGCCACACATAGACAAGAAGAAAAAGTGTGGCTTCTAATGTGCTTCCGTAGGCCACTTTTAAGTGTAATGAATATTATAATAATATTTTTAATAATATCGAATATTACTTTTTAGATTAAGGAAAATTACTTTAATTTCCATAATTAAATTTTACTAACTCTGACTAAGTTTAACACTTAATTTAAGTGGTTCCATGTTCCCCACGTTTCTCTTGTTGAGACTAAACTTTTCGTTTCTCGAAACTAGTTTCTTTCCGGTACTGATAGTTCCACAACCAGTACAGGTTCTATACTGTTTTTCTGGACTGTCGAGCACCCTAGGTCAAACTTCTCATGTCCAACCCAATTTTCTTGGGTATCTGCTTAGTCAATTTCTTTTTTTGAAATTTTCATTCTTTTGATTCAGAATTGCCCAAAATGCGTACCCTTACGGTACTCATTTTTTTAGCAGTTTCCTGTTTTTACTGACTCGGGAAAATTCTGTTTCAGGAACTTTTGCTATTTTCCTTACTTCCAATATTTCTACTCTTTTTCTAACTGGTCATTTGGTCACAAACCAAATATTTCAGTTTTTCATAACTAAAATATACCTGTTAAAATTTTTAACTTTTAACTGATATTTCACTATTTATAATTGATATTTACGAATTTTTTTTGTAAAAATATTCGTATTATAACCTTACACTTTTCGAGAGATTTTACCCCGTACATAAAGTTTCTACATGGCATTTTCTTGATCAAACTAAAAATTCTACTGCTTTTCGTTCCGGAAGAATTTATAGTCAAAATGTCGAACTGTCCAGATTAGACCTGAAATTTTCCCAGTCGTTACAGAACTGCTCTCTCTGTAGATCTGACTGTTGAACAAGTAATCCAATGGTTAAAACATGGTGTTCCACTGTTGATTTTTTAGGAGGTCTCACTGTATAGAAAGCCTAGTTTTTTAATAGTTTGACGAATACAAGTTTCGTTTATAATTAATTTAGAAAAGGCTTTCTTTACGGTGAGACCTCCTAAAAAAATCCACCCTGTAGAACACCATGTTTTCACCATTAGATTACTTTTCTAACGGTCATATTTGCAAAGGGAGTAGTTATCTGCGGCGCGCCACAGATTTTTAAAACGGATCTGCATAGATCTAACCGTTAAAAATTTAATCCAACGGTTAAACATAAAGTTGTTAGAGAGATTGTAATACGTCTTGATCAAGATCACAAGTTGTTTGAGTGTTAAAACATGAAAAACTCATGTTAAAGGGACTTCAAAAGCATTGCAGCGGGTTTATAAATGCTGCAGCGGACAAACTCCATAAAACTGTGCAATTTGGTTCGGCCAATATTTCGACTGCAACTAAAATATTTCGATTGCAACCAAAATATTTCGGCCGCAGCGGAAATATTTACGCTGCAGCGCCCTTTTTCAGGCCTCTTGGGTCCGTTTGTGCGTTGCAGCGGGAAAACACCCGCTATAGTAGAAATTCTGCAGTAAAATAGTGTTTTCATGAGGTTATGTGATCTGAAACGTCTTAAATCATTACATCCATTGGTGATATGTTTTCATACATATGTGTACACGAATTAGCAATAGATATAACTATTATAATATGTGTATTAATCCACGAAAAGATACATTTACATTGAAAATGTACCTTTATGTGAATGGTTGAAATGTTTAAAGATGATGCATTCATTCATAAAATGACACATCTGTCTTTATTAGTTCTCTAGAAAATTTACAGACTTACTAGAATGTTCTAGAACTCAATATTATTGCTAGATATTGTGTTCAAGGGTTTGTTGTATCTTGGGGTAATTTGCCATTAAAATTCATTAGTAAACTTTGAGAAGTGAGGGCAAATAAAGTCTTAAAGGAAAGTATTCTTATACGCCTCAAACCCTCTCTCTTGTTTTCTCTATTCTTTTCACCATCTACACTCAAATTCTCTAACAATTTTTAAGGTTTTATCTTGCTACAATGGAGGTTGAAAAGAACATGGCGTCTTTTCTCAATCTGAATTCCAACTTGATCGATTCAATGGTACCGATTTCACCCGCTGGAAGGGAAAGTTATTCTTCCTTATCACCGTGCTCAAGATCGCCTATGTGATTGATCCGAAATTGGAGCCATTTTCGGAACCAAAAGAGGATGATTCTGATGAATTGAAGGCTGTAAGGAAGAAGCGTGAAGATGATGAAGTCATGTGCCGGGGTCATATTCTCAACACTCTCTCTGATAGGCTCTATGATCTCTACAACTCGATGGAGTCTCCAGTGGAGATTTGGAACGCTCTTGAATACAAATACAAAACTGAGAAAGAAGGTATAGACAAATTCCCCATCTTGAAATATCTTGAATTTGTCATGGTTGATACCAAGTCCATTTTAGATCAAATACATGAATTGCAAGTCATTGTTACTAAGTTTCGTGAATTGACAGTTGAAATTTCTAAATCATTTTAAGTGGGGGCAATTATTGCTAAATTGCCTCAAAGTTGTAATGGTTATAGAAAGAAACTCCTTCATAGGAGAAATGACATAACTTTGAAGGAATTACAAAAACACTTGAGGATCGAAGAAGAGACTAAGTCTCGTGATCCCAATGGCAAGATTATAGATTTCTCTAAGGTTAAAGTTGCCGAAGCTAGTAAGTTTTCAAGAACTTTAAAGTCAATAATGACAAGAAGTTCAAAAAGCCCGGTAATGGCCAAAAGAAATTTTCTAAAAATTGTTTCTTTTGTGGAAAGAAAGGCCATTACCAAAATGACTGCAGATACAAGAAGAAAAAGGAAGAAGTTAACACCAACAAAGCCAATACTGTTGAAGAAAAATCCGAAGACATATGCGCTATGGTATCAGAGATGCAAATTGACATGATTATTGCACCTAACATGGCTGCAACTAAATTCTCCGAATGGTGGCTTGATTCCAGTGCCACAATCGACGTTTGTAATGACAAGAAATTGTTCTCATCATACAAAGTGGAAAAGGAAGGACAAACGGTTCTCATGGGGAATAATGATGCATCGATGGTTGCCGGGAGAGGTGTGGTTGAGATCAACTTTACTTTTGGAAAGAAACTTATTTTGAACAATGTTCTTCATGTTCCTGATATTAGGAAAAATCTTGTATATGCTAGTCTAATGTGTAAGAATGGGCTTCAGATTATACTTGAGGGCAATAATTGTATTGTATCTAAGAATGAGGTCTTTTTGGAAAAGGAATATTCTTATGATGACATGTACAAACTTAGCATTAATAATAAAGATTATATGAATTCTCTTTATATTGTTGACTCTTTTGATGTTTGTCATACACGTTTAGCATACTTAAATTTTAGATCTTTGAAATATATGTCTAAATATGGTTTGATTAATTACAAAGATGTTAAAAATGATAAGTGTGAAATTTACATACAAGCGAAGATGACTAAGTAACCTTTTCCTAGAGCCAAACGAAATACTCAAATATTGGATATGATTCATACCGATATTTGTGAGTATAATGGTATTTTGACAAGAGGAGGAAATAGATACTTTATCACTTTCATTGATGATTGTTCTAGATACACTTATGTGTACTTACTTAGAACAAAAGATGAAGCCTTTGATAAATTTAAAATTTATAAGGCTAAAGTTGATAACCAAAAAGATAAGAAGATCAAAATGGTTCAAAGTGATAGAGGTGGTGAATATTTCTCAAATGAATTTGATGCATTATGTGAAGAACATGGTATTATTCACCAAAGATTAACCCCTTTTACTCCTCAACAAAATGGATTAGCTGAAAGAAAGAATAAGATTTTTAACGATATGATTAACTATATGCTTCTTAATGCTAAATTGCCTAATAATTTGTGGGGGGCAGCTTTACTTACTGCATGTCATGTTCATAATAGAATTACATCAATGAAAACACATGTGTCTCCATATGAAGTATGGAAAGGAAGAAAACCAAACTTGATGTATTTAAGGGTGTGGGGCTGTCTAGCCTTCTATAGAGTTATTGACCCTAAATCATCAAAGTTAGGTGCTAGAGGAATTAAAAATGTTTTCGTAGGATATGCTGAAAATTTCAAGGCATAGAGATTATTGATTCTAGATTCTAATGTGATTGTGGAATCAAGAGATGTTGAATTTATTGAGAACAAGTTTAGCCTTGATTCTTCCACTGACCAACCATGTGTTGATACTCCCGGTACCTCCACTAATAAAAGGAAATTGTCTATGATAACTTTCAAACCGAGGAGAAGTCAACGTGGAAGAAAAGAAAATGACTTAGCACCGAATGTTCTTTCATCTCAAGCTTTAACCTTTTTGGTTGAAGGAGATAGAAATGGTGTACTTAATAAAAATACCATTGTTGCTTAATGTAGAAGAAGATCCAAAGACATTTAGTGAAGCTATGTCTTCAAAGGATGCCTCCTTTTGGAGAAAGGCCGTGAATGATGAAATGAATTCAATTATGTCGAATCAAACTTGATCTTGATTGATCTCCCTCCGGGATCAAAACCAATAAGCAATAACTATACAAACATTCAAGGTTAGATCGGTAGCCAAGGGCTTTAAACAAAAGCGTGATATAGGCTACTTTGGTACATATGATCCGGTAGCTAGATTGACATCCATAAGAGTGTTATTTACAATTGCATCAATATACAATTTGCATGTGCATCAAATGGATGTTAAGACGACCTTTCTAAATGGTGATCTTGATGAGGAAATCTATATGAAACAACCTGAAGGGTTCGTATTGCCTGAAAATGAGAAGAAGGTTTGCAAGTTAGTCAAGTCGCTTTATGGTTTAAAGCAAGCACTAAAACAATGGCATGAGAAATTTGATAATGTCATTTTATCTCATGGTTTTAAGCATAATAATGCTGATAAATGCATATACTCTAAATTTATAAATAATTTTGGTGTGATTATATGTTTATATGTTGATGACTGCTTATCTTTGGAACAAACATGCAAGGAGTAAATGATACCAAGAAGTATCTAAGTTCACAATTTAAGATGAAAGATCTTGGTCAGGTAGATACTATCTTAGGTTTAAAAGTGAGGAAGCATAGTAGGGGTTACTCGTTGTGTCAATCTCATTATATTAAAAAAGTGCTTCTTAAATTCAATCATTTGAAGTTTAAAGAAGCGAATACCCCATATGATTCTAGTATTAACTTACTAGAAAATGCATGCCGAGCGGTGGCACAACTTGAATATGCTAGTGCGATTGGTAGCTTGATGTATGCCATGCATTGTACAAGTCCCAACATAGCATTTGCAGTATGCAAAATGTCTAGGTTCACGAGTAACTCGGGTATTAAACATTGGAATGCAATTGGTAGAGTACTTGGTTGTTTTAAAAGAACCATTAATTTGGAATTGTCATATAATGACTATCCGGCAGTACTTGAAGGGTACTTGGATGCAAGTTGGATAGCAAGTGCAAGTGACAACAAATCCATATCCGGTTGGAATTTCACAATTGCGGGAGGAGCTGTCTCTTGGGCTTCTAAAAAACAAACGTGCATTCATTCTACGATGGAGAGCGAGTTTATAGTACTTACAGCTGCAGGCAAAGAAGCAGAATGGCTGAGAAATCTATTGTTTGATATTGAGTTGTGGCCACAACCGATGCCATTCATTTCTTTGTACTGCGATAGTGAAGCTACTTTGTCTAGAGCTTATAACAAGGTTTATAATGAGAAATCTAGACATATTAGCTTGAGACATGAATATGTGAAACAATTGATAACCGATGGTGTTATCAATATTGTTTATGTTAGGACAAACAAGAACCGAGCGGATCCATTGACGAAAGGTCTTTCAAGAGACTTAGTCAAATAAACATCTAGTGGAATGAGACTGAAACCTTTCTTTGAAACAGTCACCGATGATGGTAACTCAACTATGCAGTAGTTGTACTGCTATTCCATAGTTAAATGGGTAAGAACAAGTCATTGTTATGTGACCGACTTAGCACCAAAATTTAATTAGTTCCTTCAAAGATGTCGGTGTAAAATAGCTACGTGGTTGAGGTTGAGTTTATACTCTTAATGAAGTTTGAGTCTCTTAGTGACTAGAGATATAATTCAAAACTTCACCTAAGTAAACATAAGGCATGGTGTCGTTCCTAACAAGACCGTGATTTAGTCCTATAAATGTTCATGAATCTAAGATAGAGCACAAGGACAGAATAGTGCTAAATGATTGGAAAATATTTTAAGTCTGGGATAACACATATGTGATATATTTTCGGTATTTGCTTAAGAGAAAAATTTTAATGCAAAGAACACTGTTGTCTTGTGAATACTTTGAAGTATAGTCACTAATTGGAGGTTAAAATTGAAATATACCTTCATGTATGTGTATGTTTATCGTTGTTAATTCTGAAAAAATATTACAATCTAGTGGGGGATTGTTAGAGAGATTGTAATATGTCTTGATCAAGATCACAAGTTGTTTGAGTGTTAAAGCATAAAAAACTCATGTTAAAGAGACTTTAAAAGCACTGCAGTGGGTTTATAAATGCTGCAGCGAACAAACTGCACAAAACTGTGCAGTTTGGTTCGGTCAATATTTCATATGCAGCCAAAATATTTCAGATGCAGCTGAAATATTTTGGCTCCAGCCGAAATGTTTGCGCTGCAGCGAAAAACTTTGCGATGCAGCGCCCTTTTTCAGGCCTCTCGGGTTTGTTTGGGCGCTGCAGCGCCTTTGTTCAAGCCTCTCGGGTTCATTTGTGCGCTGCAGTGGGAAAACACCCGCTGCAGCGGAAATTCTGCAAAAAAACAGTGTTTTCATAAGGTTATTTGATCTTAAACATCTTGAATCATTACATTCATTGGTGATATGTTTTCATACATATCTGTACACCAATTAGCAATAGATATAACTATTATAATAGGTATATTAATCTATGAAAATCTACTTTTACATTGAAAATGTACCTTTATGTCAATGGTTGTAATGTTTAAAGAGGATGCATTCATTTATGAAATGACACATTTATCTTTATTAATTCTCCATAAAATTTACAGACTTAATAGAATGTTCCGGAACTCAATATTATTGTTAGATATCATGTCCTTGTTTGTTGTATCTTGGGGGTAATTTATCATTAAAACTCATTAGCAAATTTTAAGAAGTGAGGACAAATAAAACCTTAAAGGAAAGTATTCCTATACGCCTCAAATCCTTTCTCTTGTTTTCTGCATTCTTTTCACCCTCTACACTCAAATTCTCCAACAAATGTTTCATTAGTAAATTTTTTTAAGGCATCTCCCTCTAGAGGTTTCCTTTGGAAAAACATTAATCTATACAATGGAAATAATTTTGATATAGTTGCCATGTGCAGATGCATCTAAATGATGAAAAGTTGTGCTGTGTGTGAACAACTTTTTTTAGGACCCAAAATGAAGAAAATAAGAATCACATGAAGAGGGAGGAAAGTACATAGTGCCAATTACCAACAAAATTGATTTGATATGCACCAAATGGCAAATGTTAGCTTAATTTAGAATTTGCTTTTGCTCCTAATCACTTATAAGATTGACTGTTGAAAAAGATTTTATGTTTCCACTGTGCTAAACAACTATGTTGCTTTCATATTTTTAAGTGTTGATGATCTAGAGAGAAAATTGGTGAATTCGCTCTTAAATGTATTGTTTTAAGATTTTTATTCTTTCTTCTTGATTAATATCTTTTTAAGTATTATAATTTTTTGACTAAAAGGTAATAATTAAGTCTAAAGAGTGAAAATCTAAGACGCGTGCATTTTAAAAGATATTTGTCTCTTTTTTCCTATTTAAATCTACTTTTTTAATGTATTTCGCCCACCAACCCTTTACACTAGGCTTAGGGCCAATATTGGGGTTGAGTAAACAGGTTAGGACCACCAGCTCGGGCTCGAGCACGGTTTCAAGATCGACATGTCAGGGAAGTGACCACAAGCATAGTGTGTTGGGACGACATTCGGGTCAAGCAGATAGGTTAGGCATGCGGTGGGAATAGATTGACGTGTCGAGGCCACCATAAGAATTTGATTAGGATTGGTCTCAGAAGCAAGCTAACTAGTCGAGACTATTAATATATAGCTTTCAATTATTCTTCGATAGACATATGATTATCTTTTTTAAGCTTTATAGATAGTAGTCAATCTAAATGTTAAGGAATTAAAATGGTCAAAAAACTAAAATTCAAGGAGTTACCTACTAAGAAAAAAGATTTGGGGACTAAAATATCACAACACTCACAATTTAAGGACTATGTTAATAACTTAGTAATGAAAGGGTCTTTTTATCCTGTTGGGACGCTTTTTCAGGTATTGTACTGGGAGATACGATAATTTATTAAAATTTACGTTAAAACTTATAAATTCGAACAATAAAATTGTAAAAATTATGATAAATTTGTGAATTTTGAAGGAATACGATAACTTGTGAATTTTACGTTATAACTTATAAACTCGAATGATTCATCGTATTCCTTCAAAATTCACAAGTTTATTGTAACTTTTGTAACTTTGTCTTTTGAGTTTGTAAGTTTTAACGTAAAATTTAATAAATTATCGTATTTTCCAATACGGTGCCAGAAAAAGTGTCCCAAAAGCATAAAAAATTATGTAAGAAAATTGTTGTTAATTGATGTTAAAAAGAAACTGCAAAACGATACAATTATTGGCAGCCACCTATTAAGCATATGCGGTCACTTATGGCCTATTTAAAAGGTATACTTAAATCATAATTTTTATTTTTCATGTTTAAAATTTAAATTTCTTTTGAAAAAAATATTATAGTAGAATCAATTATTTAAGTTTAAGAGTATATGAAACAAATGAGCCCATTCGTTCATCACACGTGTAAATGATTTTTAATTGATTTTGTTTTAAGTTTTCTTTTTCATATTTTAAGTGTGAATTCTTTAAATATATAAAAAAACTTGATTAATATTTATGACATTAAAGGTTGGACACGCAATCTGACAAAGAAGATATTTATGGCATACGTGTTATTTTATTGCTTCGACTCTGAAGGCACAAGCATTTGATAAAGTAATCTAGCCAAAAAAAAAATTTGATAAAGTAAAACGAGTAATCTTGGAATTTTTTTCATCAGAAAAATGACGTCTGAAATCAATCCTTCCTAACTAGCGATGGGAAGTTTTTTATATTTATTAACATCGTTCGAGAGCTTACCAGCCTAGCCTTCAATATTTTTCTTTATTGTTCTTTTGTTTGATAATGCGGGTGGTCCATACTAAAATGAAAGCACGATTATTTATTTGAGCGACAGATACGTGCAATACATCACACACCATATCTTGTCCTGATCTAAGACATTAACTTTATTTTTTATTTTTTATTACGAGTGGAGAATTTGAGCTTAAAATCAAAATCTCGATGGCACAGCAATCATACCAATAATGTAATCATAGTTATTATTTGTATTCATTTCTAAAAATATTGTGTTACATGTCATAACATATCACAAATGAGCCACAAAATCGACATATCTCCTATAAAAATCTCAGACTTCGTTTGGTATGAATGTTTAAATTAGGGTAATTATGATTTTAGTTTTAGAATAGAAACATGAATCATGGTTTTGAGTCCTATCATAATTTTGAAACAAGAATTAGAATCAGGAGTTTGAACCATCCAAAATCAAAGGGAGGTAGTTTTAAAACCAGGGGTAATTTTAGTTTAAAACATCACATCAGGGTTTAAATCTTAAACCAGAACCATTTAAACAAAACACTGATTTTTAAACCTTGAATCAAAACTATTTTTTACTTTTATCAAACAAATAAAGATTTAAACAAGAATCATAATTCTAGTTCTAGAACCTTCAAACTAAACGCTACTTCAAATCTCATAGCCTTTGCAGCAAAAAGAGAGACAAGAATGAAAGAAAAAAACTTTTGTTTTGAAAACAAATTTTTTTTTTTTTTTAAAAGAGGAAAAAATTTTGCTTGCTTGCTTCTTCTTCTTCTTTGTTTTATTTATTTATTTTTTGTTATTTTTTGTTATTTTGTTATTTTTTTTGTTTTTTTTGTTTTTGCTGCTATTAAGGGTACTTTGCTATTACCTTCTTTATGTGTTAAGACTGGTTTGTACCTTTATCGCACATAGTTTGAAATACAAAACAAGAACAAATGGGAAATGTTTTACCTTGCATCAACTTAAAAAATGTTGAACAAAGTCCGCTTGAGCTAGTTGATCTCTTGAGTCCTTTCTGCGTCTTCTTAACCTTTTTTACACTCTCTCTAAGAACATCCTTCTTCTAGAATGACGTATTGAGAAACGACTATTATGTGTAAAGCAAGAATGATTTCTTGATTGGCACCATTTAGGTAGTTCATGAGATTAAAAGGGGAAATTCTGGTTTCAATTTAAGAGTTTCTCATTCATCTACCAGTAGTCTCCACAAGAGCATAACCCTTGTCTAAAATGGTGAAACCTATATATTACAATCTCTACTAACGATCTCCGACCAAACTCCTTTGCAAATCATCTTTATAGCATCACAACAATCACTGCATATCCCCAGATTCTCAATAATGCGTATTGGCGTACGGCGTACCAGAACTTGTCTTCAAGAAGTCGAATCTAACTGGCAGTTTTTCAATATGAAGTGCTAAGGTAGTTCAGTCACTTCCTCATCTAGGTCAAGCAAAGGTTCTCTGGTGTTCCTCCACAAAACCTCTCATCATACTTAAACCTCTTCATGATTTCATCAAGCATCATGGATATCTCTCTAGTTTCTGGATGAAAATTGTCCCTGACGAAATATTCATAAAGAACGCTGTCTAACTCGACTAAACCACCCCTGGAACTTTATTGACCATCCTCGTTTTGGGCTTGTGTACATGGGGGTTTCATCAGTGAAGGGAATGAGTGTTTTCGGAGGATGGAGGAGTTTGGTATTGGTCCAGTCATCCAACGCTGTGGTTGGTGAGAGACGATTGAACAAATGGGGCGTTGGCGAACCTGAAGCGAAGCGGTTGGGTGTGGATTTGGCTTCCTGATTGGAAGTGGGATGGGAGCTGAGAGTTAAAAGATTGAGGAAAGTGAAGTTGCGAGAATAGCTTCTGGGGTCGGATGGGAAAGATGGCTCCGTTCATTTCGCCGATTCGAGTTTAGAATTTGAGTTTTGCTACAGTAAAAAGCTCTTAGAAACAGTCACATCTAACTTTTTTGCTACAGTAAAAAGCTCTCACACAAAATCACATCTCAACTCGAATTACAAACTCGAATCAGCGAAGTGAACGGGCCGAGAATTGGGTGCGTTGCTGATACCAGCCTTGAAGAATATCGCATTTGCTTCTGGCTTTGAAGACACATCTTTATGAATGATGGTTGCCGAGCTAACATAGGGCCGGTAATATGGGTCACGCTATCGAAATCGACATGAATTTCACAGGTTAGGATTGAGAAAAAAGAGATCTAAATCAGAATTAGGTCGACTTAATATTGACACGAAAAATACGAGTCAATTTCAAATTAGACCTGCCCAACCCAAATACGATATGAAACTCGTAAAAAATTAATATATATATACATATACATATACATATATTTCCTTACATATTTTAAATTTTATTATCAACTTGTGATATTATGATAGTTATACTCAAAATCTTATACTATTATTTGCTTAATTTTTCTGGTTGTTATTGTATTTTAATGTGTTATGAATTTTAAGTTATTTTTAATATGTAAAAAACTAAAAAAAGTATATAATTTTTGTGTCAATTTCGTGTTGTGTCTTGTCAATCCGTAAAGTGGTAGTGTTGCGAATTTTAAAAAATTTCGTGTCACGGATCGTGTTCGGGTTAACTGTAAATTTAAAAAGAAATTATTAAAATACGACATGTGACACGAATTGTCATCCCTACCACAATATCAACTCTATTAGGAGATTGAACTTAAAAAAAAAACACACACACACACACACTCTCTAGTTGCAGATTTTGAAGGCAAAAGAACGCAGTCTATAAGCGAAGCAAGGCAACTGTTTGCAGTTTGCCGTTTATGAGCACCCTCTTTTAAACCTCTTCTCCTTAGCATAATACAAAGGAATAAAGCATTTTTCTTTTTGTTATAGAATGTGGACTAAAAGATATCTCTCCTTTAAAAGCCTAAAACACTTTTATTAGGGGAGAAAAACTCTCGTGTAAGAACATTTTCTCAGAGAAACTCAAAATTTGAAGCTAAAATTTAGAACAATTTTTAAAAATACCCCTTACACAAAAAGCCTGTATATTTCTACCTTTTAAACTAAAATTAATCAAGAGGTATAATTTTTTAAAAATGGTACTTTTAGTATTTAAGGAAGTTGAATATGTAACTTTCTCTAAAATTTATGTAATATGTGATAAAAATGGACGGGATGGTTGACACTCCACAATTGGATCGGATTGGACTAGTATAGGTATTCTCGGATTGGACTAGTATAGGTATTCTCGATGCAGGTTGGTTCAAGATTGTAAAACTACTAAGCCACAACGCTAAGGTCAATTTTAAACTGCACTACCAACTCAATTCAGTTGTGTATTTTAAAGTTCACCCGCAGAACTTGAATCTTTAGGCAATGCATGCAACACTACCTTACTCTCTAAAAAATTTTGCACCATTACCGACCAGTAACTTTACTCTATCACAGGCAGAAACAAAAAAATAAGCATATATTGCACTGTCCACTCCGGTAATAAGACAACCAAATCCTCCAATTATCAGAGCAAAATCTTGAATAGAACCCTTAAGTAAGCAACAACAAAACAGATCCAACAAGATTAAATAAACAGCTGAAGAAGGGAAAAAAATAACTATTTCAGGCAACTAAGCCTAATGGATGATGCTTCCGAAACTAGACGCTTAGTCTTCTTCCTCTCCCTCATTTTCAGCAATGTTGAAGTATCTCAACTCGTAAACGTTCCGGTCCTTGTTGGAAGCAATCACCCTAAGCCAATCCCTCACGTTGTGCTTCTTCAAGTACTTCTTAGTCAAGTATTTAAGATACCTAAGAAGCAAAAATCAGTACGAGATGTAAAAGCTCCATAGCTAACAAAGAACACACTCATTGCGCAAAATCATCGAGAGACCCATCTGATTATACTGGAAGTATCCACAGAAATATCCAGGTCTTGAATTTACGACTACAAAATTTTGATATCGTTATCAGCAAATTACAACAAATGTCAAACACGTTACTAGAAATATCATAAAAATATATGTTTCCAAGTAATATTACCCCATTCATTAGCCCAAAAAGAAGAGACTAATATTTAACATAATTAAACAAGAAATTTCCAACCATAAGTCGATATTAATACGAAGAAAAGCACATACTAATGCTGAGAGGAATAGAAAAACTGTTACTGACTCAGAGCAAGTCCTAAATTATCCCAAGAAATAACTGTGTAAACGTAAATACATATCGAAACAATATGAAATCACCTTAAAGTACTAAGAGACAACTTCCAGATCTCATCTTAACCACATAACAAAAACCTAGAAAAAAGGAAATGAATTTCGATTCGCAACAGTGGCAAAACAACAAGAAGAAGAAGAATACCGCTTGGAGAAAGTGCTGTCGGAGGTGACGGTGATCTTGCTCTTCTCGCGGGTGAGGGTGATGGAGTCGCCGAGAGCGCCGGGCTTGCCGCCTACCTTGATCCGCTCCTGGAGGAACTTCTCGAGGGATGCGATGTCCATGATCTTGTCCTCGACCGGCTTCCCGCAGTCGATCACGAACGTCGCTCCCTTCTTCTTCCCCTTGCTCGCCACCGCCGTTCCGCGACTCATTTTCTGCGATTCAAAAGGAATCTGGAATCAGAATCCAAGACGCAAAAACCAGAAACGCAGGCAGAGATACAAATACACAGATATACATACAATGTATCTATAGAGAGAGAAAGTACATACCGAAGCTCTGAAAGGTGCAAGAGCGATGGAGTTAGACGGGTGTGAGCTGCGACTTAGGGTTAGGTTAGCCAAAGCACCCGAGAGACAGGGATAAAAAGGGGCTAGGGTTTTCGGCCCTCTTAGAATTGGCAAAATATTTAACGGCGTCGTTTTGAAAGCTACGTCCTCTTCGTCTGTCGGCCCAATAGAATAGCCTCCATCGAGGCCCACTAAGACTTGGCCCAACTATGTCTCTGCTATAATATGGATGAAATTGAAACCAGAAGGGAAACGACAAGTTAGACTTAACATAATCAATAAATGGAAGATGCAGAAGAACTGCAACGCATAGCTCCTTGCCCTTCTCTAGCTGTTGAATCTATAATCCGCGTCGGAACGGTAAATATATCTAATATATATATATATGTATATGAGAATATATTAGAAAAAATATTTTTTTATTTTTTATTTTATTTTGTGTGTGTGTGTGTGTGTGTGTTTTCAAAGTTTCAATCTTCGACCTTTTTTTTTTCCTACATTTCCGAAATTCTTAATACACCGAAGAAAATCCCATTTTTCAGGCTGGTGCAATCTGGGGTCTCTGTGCTGGTCCTTACGATGCTCGTAAACAAGGTATTATTGTTATATACAAAAACAAAGAAACGTTTTTTCATGGTGGGAAACGTAGACATAAACACGGAACTAATTTTCTTCACTAATGCAGGCCTGACTGGCGTTTCTCATGCTGCTTTTGTGGTAACCAAGCTTCTCCTCTTTGACTTTCAAAAACAGATTTGTGTGGAATTAAACTGATGCTTTTTTTATTCTATATTGATGGGCAGGCAAAGTCGATTGGGGGGTTCGGCTTCCAGTGTGGTAATTTTTTGGTTTTCTCTGTTATATAACTATATATTAAGTTGTCGATTATGTGTTTGTTGAATTGACGCTTAGAGTTGGGCTTTAGGACTTGTTGCTGGAATTTTTACTTCTGCTCGATGTGGGCTTCAAAGATATAGAAGAAAGGATGATTTGGTTAGTTTTTTCATTTGTCATACCATCCCTTGTTAATTGCTATTACCATCCTTTGTTGTGCATGCATATTAGATCAGCCGTCACTACTAGAGGTGAAAGTTCGTGGCCTGAATGGAAATTTTATTCCGGCCCAGCCATAAAGCCCGGTCCAAAATTTTATAAGGCCCTTTTAAAAATTTTAAAAGATGGAGTTTACGCCTGCTTGGCCTGAATAAGCTTTTGGGCTTGAAACCTCGGCCTAGTTCAACTCAGGGGTTAGAGCCAGGCCCAGCCCCGGGCCAGCCCATTTAGACCGGCTCAAACTTACAGCTCTAATCACTACAAGTTGAGGTTCATTTTTCCTGAGAGAGGAAAAGAATTTGAGCACATGGGTTAGTATTAGTTGATGGTTTTATCGGTTTCTTAAGGACAATTCAAAATCCAATTTGAGTTTTGATACTATCTGGGACGTACTCCCAAATCCCAACAAACATAATTGTGATGCTTCCTGAAATAGCTATGCATTTAACTTGGTTTCGGAAAATTTAGTCTAGGAACCGATAAACGTACTAGTTACTTTTATGCACAAGTTTATGGTGATGATGCTGTGAGTGTGACTAGTTGATATCACTGCTATTTATTTTATTTAAGTTTTAGCACACTCTTGTTTACTCAAAAACAGTGAATTCTCTAAATGATGCCATTTTTGTGCTCTGGAAAGTTTCATACTTGAATAGATACAAATGTTGGTGAATCATAGATGAGCTTAATGAGCTAGGGCAGTAGCTGAGGCAAGTCCTGTGAAATTTTTCTTTTGGTAGAAACATCATGAAATGGCAGCTCGATCAACAATATCAGGATCATGTGATAATGTTCATGCAGTTAATTGAACTCAAGAGCTTAATCCGATTCATTACTGCCATATTAATAAAGCGATAAGGCTTGACATTTAGAAAGAAGTGTAGGATCTTCTTTATGCTCTGGTACTGTCTCATTGTAGAAGAGATAGAGAGAAGATAGACTTTGTTATACTTGTGCTGATTCATTCGCTATCTAAATAGTGTAAATCTTTTTAAAACCCCTGGCCATTGCTCCCTAGAATAGATGCTAAAGTAAGTTCAATGGTCCAGATCAACACGTAAAATATAATGGCTAGTGAAAGGTCCGTTTTAGTCACTGGTGTTACAGAAAGTGTTACAACACTTTATTGTAACGCTGTTATAACAGAAACTTTGAAAATAAACCAGCAAATCAGAAATGCAGGAAACTAAATGCAGGAAACTAAATGCAGAAACGTAAAGAACACCAGAAAATGGTATCGCAGTTCGGTGCGCACACCTACTCTGCGGGGTCACGCCAAGACAGTGATCAATCCACTAAGTTCGAAAGATTACAAAGGACCGAACGGTCTTACACACTCAACGACTCATTCCTTGACGATGTGGCCGTTGCCTGGAATCTCCTTAGAACGTTTGATCAGCGAGCACCACTCGACTTGACAGTTTCCTCCCGAAACCAAAGAAATCTTCTCCCGAAGAACCAATTCAAAAGTGTTCTCACAAAACGTCGCAACACATCAAGCGACTCTTAACATTACAATCTCATTCTCACATGAATATCCACAACCTTTTGTTTTCAGCACCCTATCACACAAAATACGTTCAGCGTACACACAGTTTCTGCCGTCTCACTCTCATTCAAAAAACCTCTACAAGCTTAAAGATTATCCCACCATTCATCCTTCAGGTCAACTCACTCCCTGTAATCAAATCAATTCATTTGCCGTGCCACCAAAACTTTCCTTAAGAGGCTCCCTATTTGTTGTGCTAGCCAAGCTTACCACCAAATTACAACCAATCTGCCTAAAATAGTTTTTCAACTAATTTGTCAAAAATAAGCCAATCACAAAATACACTAACAATCTCCCCCTTTGGCTATTTTTGGCAAAACTAACAAAACAAACTGATTACACAAATAAATCTGACTAAGGAGGTTAGATTAATTAAGTGTTCTCTCCCTTTTCGACAAAAAATGTAGCCAAAGAATACAAGATATGAAAAGCAATAAAGAAAGACAAACTACTGTGATGTACTAACATATCCATCAGCACCCGAGGAAGATTGAATATCTCCAAGAAGAGCAGTGATCTCCTTCTTCTTGTGTCCTACCCGCTTCATTTCCTGAAGAAGATGAGACTCATACGCTGACAGATTGAGCAGCTCCTTGGACAAAAATTGAATAGTCTTTGCATTCAGAACCGCTGCTGTGGACTGTGAAGAACTTGTTGCAACACCACCTGAGACACTAGGAGCAACACTAGGTTCAACGTTGTCATCTTCATCGGAACTCTGCTCCCCCTGAACATCATCGACATGTTTTCCCGAATGTAGTTTCTTCAATATTCGGATTATCCCCGACGCCTTCTCAAACAACTCATCCGACTTCTTGACATCATGTTGCTTCGTCAAAATCTCATAAATGAGAGAAGGGAAAGGAAGAACCGGATGAGTGATTGTGGCTTCAGCATGGCTGATGATTTGATCAAACACTAACTGACCAAAATCAAAAAAAGTAGCAGTACTAATCAGGAAGAGAAGCTTTGCCAAAGGCTTCTTTACTCCTGTTGCATGCATACTTGGCATCCAATTTTTCAGAGCAATCATATGAAGAGCGGAGTATTTCAAGCTCAACTCTGCTGCAGGGAAAGACTTTGCAGGAGGCCACTTACTTCGCACATTGGCAGTTATTTCAGCAATAATGACATTAAAATCAACCTCTCGGTTCACAACCGGACGATTGCTTTTAAAGAACTCATTGATCACATCAGGAGAAAAATCAAACAAATGACCTCTGACATACACTTTGTGATACATATCAGATGCAGGGTTATTCATCTCTTCCACCAGGTTTGCATAGAACTCATAAACCACATTTTTCACAAAAGGCTGCACCCTAGTCATTGTTCCAAGTAAATTCTGTGCTTTTAGAAGATCAAAAACTCCTAACTCCTTAAATTTGACATCATGCAATAACCTTTCAGATAAAAATTTTCTCTGCACTACTGAATCCCATACTATCTTGTTTACCTCTGAGTAGAAAGTAGAGAATGTACCGGGTGCTTGAGTCTTGTTTGTGTTTTCTTGTGAAGAACCTCTGAGTAGAATATGAACACTTTGCTGCAGACCGAGTGACTCTGCTTGGCATCGATGAACCTTTATCTTTCCGCTTCTTTGTTGATTTCTGTGAAGAATTCACCTTTCTCACTGGTTCCACGGGTTCCATTACAACTTCTTCCTCATCATCTGGAGAAAGGTCACATGGATGTAGAGATTCTTCACTAAAAGAACAAGACTGCTTCTTCGAAGATGACTCAGGATTCTGTTTTTCAGCACATGGTGGAAATTGAGGCTTCAATCCTTATGGGAATTCAGGTGATTGAGAACTCCAAGATGAAAAACCCGGTCTTGCTGCAAATTTCATCAAATCCGGATGAGGGTCTCTTTGCGGCATTTCATCAAGCACTTGATCTGCAACAACCTTAGGTGGCTTAGAAGAATTTATTGGAGACCGATTCTCACCCAAACTTGGCACTTCAGGCGATGGAGACACTGGAGCGGTGGGGGCGATACTTTCTTGTTCTGAAGACCCACGTGGAGTGGAGTAAATCTCTTCTCCTTCGTCGCAAATCGGCGCCTTTGAGTATAGAACTATTACCGATGGAGGTAGACATGCAAGTGGAACAGGTTCTTTGTCGGCAGAGGCGTGAGCATTTCGACGAGGAGTAGAAAACTTCACCTTCTTCGACGGCGTGGAAGACTTCTTGGGGGGAAATCGATTGAATACTCGATTGCTTCGGGTCCTCACCAGTTTGGAAAATTTTCTGTGAAACACGGAGAACAAGTTTTCTGAAACAAAAAAAAATTTAGAGTTGAGAATTTCAAATGAAGGGACCGACTGTTTTAAAACAAGGCTCCCAACCAAAACGCAATGTTGTTTTTTTTTTTTAAACTATGAACAATTACATTACACAAATACCCAAAGCTGTCTGTAAAGCCTCAAATCGAACAGCATCAAGAGCCTTTGTAAAGATATATGCTAGTTGCTTCTCTGTAGTTACATTCTCCAATAAGACAATCTTGTTCTCCACCAGTTCTCGGATAAAATGATGTCGTATATCGATGTGCTTCGTTCGAGAATGTTGAACAAGATTCTTTGAAATATTTATAGCACTGGTATTATCACAAAAGACTGTCAGAACATCTTGAGAAATACCATAGTCTTCCAACATCTGCTTCATCCACAACAATTGAGTGCAACAACTTCCTGCCGCTATATATTCAGCCTCTGCGGTTGATAGAGAGATCGAGTTCTGTTTCTTACTGAACCAGGAGACTAGATTATTGCCTAAGTAGAAACATCCTCCTGAGGTGCTCTTCCTGTCAGCTGCATTACCTACCCAGTCCGCATCACTGAAACCTGCAAGACTAGAATTTGTATCACTTGAGAACCAAATCCCATGATCCACCGTCTCACTAACATAGCGAACAATTATCTTCACTGCAGCCAAATGTGATTCTTTGGGGTTTGCTTGATATCTAGCACAAACGCCAACACTAAAGCTTATATCAGGCCTACTTGCAGTTAGATACAAAAAGCTTCCAATCATGTTTCGATAAAGAGTTGGATCTACAGAGACTCCATTTTCATCTTTAATCAACTTCTCATTGGTGCCCATCGGTGTTCTCATTTGCCTAGCCTTTTCTAGACTAAATTTATGAATTAAATTTCTAGCATACTTACTTTGTGAGATAAAGATTCCATTTTTCATCTGTTTCACTTGCAGACCAAGAAAGTAAGTCAGTTCTCCTACCATGCTCATGTCAAATTCATTCTTCATTTGTTCAACAAACTCTTTCACTTTTGTTTGTGATGTCGATCTAAACACAATGTCATCCACATAAATCTGAGCTATGATGATCTCATTTCCAAATTTCTTGATAAACAAGGTCTTGTCTACTCCC